AGCAAGGGCCTTCTTCCTTTCACTGGTAGCTGTCTTCAGCAAACCCATCCATCTCGAAATCAGTTTTCAAACCTCAAAACCTGTCATCATAGCTGCTTTTAATTTTCTCGCACTAAAACACGCAAGAAAACAAGTGTCTCTTGCTCGTAGACTGGATACCATCTGTTCTGATTTATGGATCTAGGCGCAAGTTCTGTGATTGACCTGACTGGCTCTCTTCTCACTTCCGATGGCACAACCCTGATGATGCAGAGTGGGTTGCAGCTGGACACTCCGTGATGGGTATTGGGTTGAGTCATGGAACCGAAGTGTCCCTGCTCGCATGGATACTCGTTGATAGTCGCTCCTGCGCGGTTCGTTTGGCAAGTCTGAATGAATCTCGGATGGGAGAAGTGCATCACTCCCTGTTTGTTATATCCGCTTATGACAGAACAGACTGCAGCTCTAAATCTGCTTAAGGCGGTCTATTGTAGCTGAAAGGTCAAACATCCATGTAATCGCTGGTCACGTGAGCTGTCAGTTAGGTAGGCGATTTGTGACGCACAGACAACGGGGAGTACCTACCGCAGATGTGTGCTGATCGCAGACTGATCCTTTGCCGTGCCAATTTTCGAAACGACAGAAGTTTGACCACGTGGTTCTCACCAGAGAATCAATCTCCACCTCAACTTGACCACACTGTCACACTGGTGAAGGGCGATCACAGCTTGCTGCTCTCTCTGGAATAACTGCGTGGACGCATGCGTTTATCTGTTGCGCTTTTTGGGCCTACGCAATACACTTACACAGTGCGTGGCCATTAACCTCATAGATCCATGAAGTACACAATTGTCAGAATTTACTTCCCCAACGCCTGCTGATCCAATATGGGACATTACCTACCACTGTATCCAGATATCTTAAGGTGTACGTGATGCTGGGACTTCTATGTGGGGTACATCCCAAGCATTGGGTGTGTGCTAGGACCCTGGCTTTGCTGAAGGCTCGTCAGCAGCTTCTTGCCGGTTGGAACCACAACCCAACTGTACGCATCGTACGACGCCGGGTGAAACTGAGTGTCCAGACGGACTCGGGATCTGAAAGACCAAAGGAATGGGAAAAGCAAAAATGTCAGATGTATCCGCATGTTATTGCACGTCGTTCGTTTGATAGGAAGCCTCTTGACAGTGAATGTTTCATTACCACAATGGATTTCCACCAAGGAAGAAAGTTGGGACCATTTGGCATAATACTTCGAACAATTATTCAATTAAACGCCTGTTGGTCCCTTTCCCATCTGTCAGCTTTTGGACATCATCCTCAGAGACGGCAACATCAGTAGCGTCACTAATGCTTACTGTCAAACAACCACAAAGTTTGTTTAATTTTACTTAAGGTCTTAAGGTGAAAAAAGAAAGGGGTTGATTGGCGAGAGACCTGATACTAACCTACCACAAACATTCTGAGGTATCCACAACTTCGGGAGCTCAGTCAAGTAATCCGATGATAAAAAGACAGCACAAACGCCAATGACTTCGATTATCCGCCAGTTCGTGCAATGCATCCGGTCAAACGCATAGGGCTACAGGGTTTCCGTCCTGAATGTGCACCGTGCCAACAACACCTAAACTCCTTGCGATCTCTCTCAAACCCTACTGACAAGTCACACGTATAATTCGCAGTTTGCGTCATTATGAGAGAGGTAGGGAGAACAACACTCGTTTCAGCAACTGATATTTCAGCACGCGCAGAACATGGCCAAACCATCGTGGGTGATTGTGTTGGATGTTTCTCACGACTGGATTATCTGCTGCACAAACAAATTCCCGTCTTCGAATAACCTCTTTTCGAATTCGTTCGCGCCACCCGACACGGGGGACACTTCTGAGACACCGTTGGTCGAAATCCTGAAGACGCTTCGCACTATCCGTCCACAGAATTTGTCTTGCAACCGTTACTGCCCTTACTATTGCCTGGTAGATACGGTCCTTGAGACCCATTTACGTCTTTTTGACGCAGATAGCAAGCTTGATTCTGTTTTTTTTTCAGATCCGAGCATTCTCTTTGACAGATGTATAGTGTGAGTATGGTGACCCCTTCAACCTAAGAAGGGTTCAGTGTACGTTCCCACTCAAGCGTCATCGTCGTACTCCTGGTTCCAACGTTTTGCACCAGCCCTTTTCAAGGACTGCCGTAAAATCCTCACCCAGTGCCTGTCCAAGCCATTTGCATTTGTCTCTGAGAAATAGGCTATTCCTGGCAAGTGCGGTGAATCGATACTCTCGCCCGTCTTCAAAAACCATAGTTGGAGTGAGTGTAATGACCACAGAGGTGCCAGTGATGAGCCCGAGATAGCTTAGTGGCCAAGATCCAGATTTACTTACCAGAAGGTCCTATTTGGGAGCAACTGTGGCTTCTCGATTGCTGCTGTTGCTGTCAGCGGTGATTGTCATGGCTATCCTTTGTGTTCAGATTGTCGTATTGTATTAACCATGCTTTCGCCTTCACTTTCAGCTTAAGTACATCTATTCTTAAACAAGCAATGCGCTAGTCATTCTACGCCATTCAGTCTTCTTCCCGCGATGCTCCATCCGTAACAATGATGATGGCGATGACTGCTTGCATTCAAGCATGGGTAACCTAGTAGTATCTTGGCATTCGTATTTCCTTCGAGTAGCATAGCAGCTATGCACCAGAACGGCAGCACAGTTGTGCGATTACTATCTTATTACTCAAGTGTCATTTTGACTTCCGTTGTAATGAAACAAACGCTGAAGGATTTTCAAAACCCCAATGTACACCTCGTTACTGGTGGGAATTTTGTCGATCTGGACTACACAGATGACATCGTCCTTATTTTTGAAGATGAGCACATCACAAGCACTGCCGAATGAACTTACCACCAGCATGCCATACCAGCCTTGCACTTAACAAATGCAACTTATGTTCAGGATGTGCGACATCCTAATTGCCCTCCGAAAGTAAAAAGCACAGGGGGCTGCAGGAATTAGGCATATTGATATTGTTAATTAGCTCTGACGTGTGTGTTTAGTTAAATCATTCCACAGCTCTTGAAAGCTTGAATCGGGTCTAACAATTCGAATCACATGTGGCGTCAAATAAGTGGGCACATCACTTGGTCTCAAGTGAGGGGGGCTGTGGTTGCATGCTGGTCTCCATGGGGTGCTTCTGGGGCGTTTTCAGTTTTTTACTACCAGTGCTTCAGAAGTGCTGCTAGTATCGGAAGGCGTCGAAGAATCCATAACGGGGTAATTAGAAGACGTGTTCGGTTGTGCGTAGGCATCTCAGGCACTGAAAACGTGTATCGACGTCGATTGCGGTCACTCGGCTAAGCTTGCTGAATCATCGTCCACTGAGAGGGCTGTTTCTCCGTGCTTCGTTCAGAATGGTGTGTAGTTGGCAACGCGGGCTTGGTTGGAGGTTTTGAAGGGGATAACATAGAGTTTGGGTGCTGTCGGTCCGGTCCGCCTTGTGAGGTGTGTTATTCATGATCCTCTGTGTGCTTGTCTGGAGACGCCGCAAGAAATGGCGGATGCTCGATACTAGTGGCGTTTGTGTTGCAAACTTCTTTTGGAAATAATAGCACCCTCTTGCTCGAAGTAGACTAGCACCAGACCCCTTCCTTGTCTAGTCTTTGCCTATTTCCACTCTAGAGCTTTAAATCTAGCCAAACAACCCTTATGGTTGTACGGGAGCCGTGCATCAAGTTGTTGCCACGGCTAAACGCGTTCAATAATGTGCTTCAAAAACCTGGTGTCTTCGGGGCTGAGTGTGTAAGGAAACTCCAATGGTTGGCCATGAGCGTTATCAGTACATTGTCGGATTCCGGTGGAAATATTGGATCACTGGATTGGAACATTGAAGTGCGCTGAGGGTTGGATGGAGATAAATTACCTCCGGTGGATCAGCTAATGATGTTCCATAGGTCGCAGTGAATTGGTCACAAGCTTTGAGTTTCAGTGGATTGATTCCCTGGGGTCCATCTCTCAGCAGAATGGAAGATAGAAACAATCCAGGGAAAGTTAGTCGGGGACTTGGCAGCGAACTGTGAAAGCCACTAAAAGAAAACTTATCTATCCTGTCCATTGCCGTCTTCATGGATGGGAACTCCGAGGAGGGATAAGCCAATGGTTGAAGACAGGAAGGCGTGGTCCGGTCGTACGTGGAAAGGCATCTATGCCTTTAAGCTGCTTTATTCATTGCTTCTGTTCGTGATCTCCACATAGACGAAGGGCCCATTGCTGTCCTGTATTCAGCCGTCACCAGTATTGACCACTGCCTCCTAATTTCCCGATCGTTGGGTAACGAATTTGTGGCAGACGCAACAACTATACAGTTGTTGAGGGTGTCAGTACGCCTAAGAACCCTCTTGTTGTTGAATTATCTTCAAGTTAATATTCTAAAATTTTAATCTTAATTTTCCGCACCAATTTCAAAAAGAACACGCTGCCATCATATTGGCTAGTCACTCTTGGTTCTCTGTAGTGATCCATATATA